CCCCCCCCCCCCGCCCCTGTTACACCGTTCAGGTGAAACTGGCTGCACAGGTCGAGGGGGGAGGGTTCTGCTGCTCGGGGTGGGGGGGGGGCTTCGTCAGGCCCCTGCTGTTGTCACCTGTGTCCTGTGATTTCTAGTCTAGACACGTGGAAATGCCCAGAGCCCCAGTGCCTCCCTGATTTCACTCCCTGCTCCAACCTGGTTGCCTTCTGTGCATGAGGGAGCACGTGGCTGGGAAAAATGACCAGTGTCCACTACTTAGCATGTAACTGATGGTGGGCAAGTGGGAGTTTTCTGTTGTGAATCTGCAGCCCACAAAATCCACCGTCTTCGCGTATTTCAGCACACGGTTCTGTGCCACGATGTGCATCACCTACCGTCACCGTCCGCCTTCAGCACGTTCGTCTTCCCACACTGGAGCTCTGTCCCCGTTGAACACGCGCTCCCCGTCCTGCACCCCGTCACCCCCGCCCCTTGGGGATTTCTGCTCGTCTGGGGACCTCCGAGGAATGGGATCACCGTGTTTGTCCTTCACGTCTGGCCTTTCTCAGGATCTTGTTGTCAAGGTCCGTCCCTGCTGTACCCTGTGTCCGAATGTCCTTCCACCCATTTTCAGGCTGGTTAGCGGTGTGCTTCCTCAGTGAGCATTTTCTAGGTGGGAAACGCATCTCCGTGTGCCCGGATTTACCCGGCGTGCGGTGCCCGGCGTGTCTGAGCCCGGGAGCCCTCCCCCGTCCCCGCGCCAGCCCGGCCTCTTTGTGTGGGTCTGTCAGGCAGCCTCACCCTGACACACGGACGCATCGGCTAGTTTTTCTCCTTCAGATCAGCGGCCTCGGACAGCTTGTGTTTCTTTGGCAGCCGTTTCAGCCTGCTCTGTCTTGTCATTTTAGAGTTCAATATTTGCTGCTCTGAAGGAAAAAACGGGGATGGGTCGGACCATTGTACTTGGTCTCTTGACCTCGGTGTTGCCCATGAGCAGTGAAGGATAACTTTTGACGAGCCGTGTCAGATGTGACAGGCAATCTAGTTGGGTTGAGTGGAAATGTGCTGTACAAGTTTGAAGCCTTGGTTGGGGGCATTTTTCTGGTGTTCAATGCATTTAAATTGACACCAGACTTCAGTATGTTGTTCATTCCAGGCTCCATACTGGAGGCTCACGTTTCTTAAATGTGGCTAAGAAACGGCCTCTGCAGCATTTCCAGAGTGTTCCTGCATATTCTCCAGCACTCTGTTTACATTCCCAGCCTCCACGGTGCTTTTTTTCTTACCCCCTCTGTATTTTAAACCTTACTTCTGAAGTGAATTTTTTTTGCTTTCAGTTGAATAGACACTTGTGGGGTTGTGTGTGTGTGTGTGTGTGTGTGTGTGTGTGTGTGTGTGTGTGTGTGATGGAGAGGAGGAGGATGACTGTGCACTCCTTGTTTGGACCTCAGCTCGCCTTCCCGTCGTTTAGAGTGAGACGCCTGCGTCGGTGGCTGTGGTTTTAAGGGGAAGCCATTTCCCACTTGTCTCTCTGTCAGAAATTGTTTTAATTTCGGTTGTAAAACAAAAACCGTCAATCAGCAGACGTTGTTGCCACCGGCCCCCCCAGCCACCTCCCTGCCAGGGCCGGGGACTTTGCCACGGTGTGGGGCCTTGAGTGTTCCTTGGCTGCGTCCAGGCTGTGGCTCCCTTCTTTCCCTCCATGTAGCATTCCAGGGTGCGGTCTGTCGTTCAGACCTCCCAGCTTGTGAGGTGAATTATCTGTGCGTAGTGCCCAGGGTCCGCCCAGGGGTGGTGGGCAGAAGTCTCTGTTGTTGAGAACTGCCCATGGCGGAGTTTGTTTCCGGAGAAAATCGTCTCTGGCTTCAGTCTAGCATGTTCCGGAACACGCCTCCCACTCTGGGAAGCTTCCTTAACCCCAGTGCAAGCGGTGTCCAGTCCCTGGTAGGCAGCCTGTGTCACTGTGGTCGGCATGGTTTCCAGGAGGGCAGCTCCATAGAGATGGCCGCGACGGTGGGCAAGCGCCCTGGGTATCCATCCGTCCCTCCCGGCATGGCATGACGTCGCCTCCACTCCGGAGAAGGTGAGCTGGGCTCCAGGGTGTAGAGCCTTCGTGTAGGGGCCTCACCGTCGAGCTGCTGAAGAGAGAAGCGCTGTGGGGTCCCAGAATGAGGGTCCGCCGTGGAATGTGCCAGACTGGGAGGAGGGATAAGGCTTCCGTGTGTTGAGGAATCTTTCGTTGGCAGGTGGACGAGTGGCTGCTTCTGCAGTTAGCCTGACGTGCTCAGCTTCCTCCTCTAGTCGTGTGAGGGTTTGTATCAGGAGGAACATTTGGTAGAAGTTAACAAAGGCTGTGGAACACGGTCCCCGGGAGGCAGAGTGTGGGTGAGGCCACGGCCGTGATCGGCATTTCTGACACAGAAGACGGTGCACGGTGGGGAGGGGGCTCCCACTGGGGAGCGGAGGTGCCTGCCTCCCTCTCCCACCTGCCCCGCGCGTATCACGGCACCTCAAGACCTAGGCAGGTGGAGGGTGAGGGTGGGGAGGGGCCGGAGGGACAGCGGCAGGTGCTTTCAGGAGCCCAGGGGGGACAAAGCCGGACAGGTGAGGGAGGAGGAGGAGGAGGGGTTGGGAGATGATGTGGGACGCCCGGCTTCTGTCGTACAACCCCTGAATCGGTTTGGCAGGGAAGGCCGTTGGTCTCCTTTGGTGGCTGTCCACCGTGAACCCATCCATGCCTGTCCCCTCTCGGGAACACAAAGAGTTCCCGGCAGGGCTCCTTCCTGTCCTGTGGAGCCCGTGTTTGTGCCTCCCAGCAGGCCTCAGAGACCTGCGGTGTTCTCCAGCCAACCCGCCAGGCCTGCCCCGGGCATTGCCTCGCCGGCACCCCGTGTCTCTCAGGGGTTGTCCCTGGGGAGCCCCAGGGCCCCTCCTCGTGCTGAGCGGCAGCGTGTAAGCTCCAGCGGAGGGCCGCAGTCGTTCCACTCGTCAGGGTGACAGCACGTGCGGGGTCTCCTGGGAGCCTGGTGTCCGCTGGGGAATGTTCTAGAGGGAGAAAGCCCAGTCCTCTCTGGTTGTTTACCAATAACTGCAAGGTGGGGCAGGGAAGCCATTTTCCCTCCGCTCACCCGGGGTGGTGGTAGCCGTCCACACTCAGGAAGGTGGTTCTGGTTCTGCTGGACTGATCAGTACAGGAAGCTGGCCCCGCCTCCAGGGCGAGCATCCTGCCCTTGTAGGGCCGGAACTCACCAGCAGGGTGGCGCGTGAGCCGTGGAGAGCAGGCCTCCTTCGCCCTGTGAGGTAGCCACCCCGCAGCCCCCCCGGCGGGCGCCGGGCCCTCCCGGGGACTCCGCCGGCCCCGTGGGCGCCTCAGTGATTTCCGGTGTGAGCGTTGCCGCATTTCCTCGGGCTGCCCCATTTGTGCCCAGGATCGGGTTAGCCCTGTTGTGGCGGAGGAAAAGAAGTCAGGTTTACTTGGAGTTGACAGAACTTGATGTCCCTAGGAGACTTCTGAAAAGGGCTCTTTTCCTCTTTAGAAAGGGATTGTTCTGTTTTTAATGGATTTTTTTTTTTTCATTCCCTTGAGCTTTCACTTGATTGAGTGATGGCATATGCTAAGCCCTGTGGCACATCTCACACCCACAGCAGTGGACAGACAGATGTGGTTACTTTGTGCATGGGGCTCACAGTCCTGTAGGAGGAATCACAGTTAACCAATTAACTGTTCTAAGCTGAGCAAGTGCGAACTGTCGGGTGCTATGGAAGCATAACCTTGTCTGTGGAGGGGTTGGGCAGAGACGGCTCCCTGGGAAGGGGCGTGTCGGCTGGGCCCAGGGGAGGATGAGCCATGCAGACCGGGGCAGCGGAGTGATGGGAGCAGCATGTCCAAGCGGAGTTCACCTCCACACCGGACACCAGGGGTGTGCCAGGAGCAGTCCACAGGTAAGCCATTGCTCTTGGCTTTGGACATTTCCTGTTTTGATCTCTTCTTTGGGCCTGTTCTGCACAGAGGAGCAAAAAGAGAGCAGGGAAGGAGATTTTCAGAGGGAGATCCTTGATCCTGCATTTGCCAATTTCCTCAAGATTCACTCGGATCTTTTGCAGTGTTCCAGTGCATATTTCCTGAGAGTAACCCTTACGTAACCACAGTGCAGTGATCTAACCGGGACGTTCACCATCCCAACAGTGGCATGTGATCCACAGCCAGGTCGGGCTCCTCTCCCAGCCCAGGGGTCTCTCTGGGCTCCCCCAGAACAGGGTCCGCTCCGTTATCACATGAGGTTAGTTAAGTGTTAGTTTGTCCTATCCCTTTTGTCTCCTCCAGTCTGGTAGTTTCTTAGTTTTTCTTTGTGACCTTGAAATATTTGGAGCATAGACGCTGGTGAAAGCGTAGAGTCTCTTTGCATGGGGGTATCTGTTGCACAGTCACTTTCGGGCAGGCCGCCCATGGAGGCGATGTCACGTCCTCGTCAGTACACCTGCCACTTAATCCCCACATTGGGGGTGTCGATTTTGATAACTCAGTGTGGTAGGCGCCTGCTGCAAAGTGACAGTTCTTCCTATGTAATTAACAAATATGGTTAGTAAGTTCAAAGGTACTTGGAAATCACACAGGTCTTTGCTCTGGAAGGCCCCCCTCGCTGGATTTTCCACGCACGGATGAATCAGAGCCCGCCATCTCTCCTGTGTGCATGGGGTGGCATTCCTCTGTAAGCCATGAGCCAGTCGTTGATGAATGCATACCAGTGGGCCTCTCATATGCTGCAGCTCATTACTGTAAATGTTGTTGCTCAGATCACCCCAGGGTGGCCAGTGGGGCACTTGTGGAAGGTTCTCGTCCTGCTCGTGTCCCTCCTCTTCTTGGATCATGTCCTTTGTGTTGGGTGCTAAGAGATAACCGAGGTTTATCCACTGTTCTCCCCATCTCTGCTCTGATCCAGCCTTTCCTCTGTGGAATCCTGGTTCACTCTGGAAAGCTGCATTTAGCAGATGGAATTGACACACCTGTGCAAGGTGTGTCCTTGCTGTGAGTGCTGGTGCCTCCAGACCGGGTTCTCCCTGTCTTTTTGTCTTCACTGACATTTTCCCTAAGCACACAGCCTCCCCACATGGAATTTTAACACCATGGGTATGCTGTGTTCCAGCTTATGTATTGGGGCTCTTTGGAAGGCCTTAAACCTTCGGAACGTCAAAGACTTTTTTCGTTCCTGCCCCACAAAGAAGCAGTTGTTGCCCCTTGAGGTCGGTATCACCCCATGTGGGACTTTATGCTCAAGACCTTTCCAGCCAAAAGAGTTCAGGAAGGTATGTCTGTATGCACGCGTGTATGTGTGCCCGTTACGTACCTGGCTCTCTTAGTCTGTACGGTTACCGCAAACCATGAGTTTCCAACCTACCCTTAATTCCAGCTCAGTCTCTCAAAAGCAGACTTTAGATGTGCCCTCTCCATATTTGTAACTTTTTTCTGTAATAGAAATATGGTTCTCATTATTCTCAATCGTTACCCCATGATTTGAATATAAAAAGCATAGTTTCAGCATTTGAAGAGCACGCACGGTTTATGCAAACCTACTAGCTCGATTTCAAAATCTGTTACGTTTTTAAAAATTGCCTTTATTGGGGCGCCTGGGTGGTGCAGTCGGTTAAGCGTCCGACTTCAGCCAGGTCACGATCTCGCGGTCCGTGAGTTCGAGCCCCGCGTTGGGCTCTGGGCTGATGGCTCAGAGCCTGGAGCCTGTTTCCGATTCTGTGTCTCCCTCTCTCTCTGCCCCTCCCCCGTTCATGCTCTGTCTCTCTCTGTCCCAAAAATAAATAAACGTTGAAAAAAAAAAATTAAAAAAAAAAATCGCCTTTATTGAGGTGTAATTCACCTAAAAGTCCACATCAAGGGTACAGTTGAATGAATTTTGACAAATGGATACGTTTCTTCAGCCACCAGTATACAACCCAGGTAAGGAACAGGTAGGTCTCTGTCACCCAGAAGATTCCTTTGGGTCTGCCCATTCGGTCAAAACCCATATTCCTGGCTCTAGGTAATCGTTAATTGATTAGATTTGTCTTCCCCGAAGTTGCATACAAATGGAGTCATGAAGCGTGTTTTTTGTGTCTACGTTATTTCATGCGGCTTCATGGTACCCGTCTGTGTTGGCGCATTGTGTCAGCAGTAGGTTCCTTATTGCTGAGTAGCATTCTGTTTTATGGGGAACCAAAACTTGTTTTCCATTTTCCTGTTGATGGACGCTTGGCCGCGATTGCCAGTTTGGGCTGTTTATGAATAGGGCCGGCACGAGCATGCCGTGTGGACGTGTTTACGTGGGCGCGTGCTCTCAGGTACCCTGAGTAAATGCCCAGTAGTGGGGCCGCACTAGGAGCCGGCAAGCAGGTTTGACTTGGGGAGAACCTACCGGATGTCTTCAGAGCGGGTTTCCAGTCCTCCACCCCCACCGGTAACGTGTAAGACTTGTGGTTGCTCCACATCCTGTCAGCACTTGGTTTTGCCGGTTTTGTAATTTTAGCCATTGGACCAGGATTCAGTGGACTGCCACTTACCTTATTTTGCATCCGCCTCGTAACTAAGAAGTCGAGCGTCTTTTCGAGGCTTGTTGGCCATTCTTTCCCAAGGTGTTTTCTTCATCTTTTCCTCCCATTTTTAAAATTGGGTCGTTCCTTAATCAAATTCTAAAAAATTTCTTTAGTATCCTGCATGTAAGTTCTTTGCCAGATATACTTAGATTGAGAATGTAGCCTCTCTGTGCCCTTGTCTTTCTCTTCACAGCATCCTTTTGGAGCAGAATTGTCAATTTCTAAGAGGTGTGTTCTGTCACAGGGGGAGGGGTATGGTTTGCACTTCGTCTCCTATCTAAGAAATTCTTACGCCAAACCCACAATACTTTCCTCTTATCTTTTGTTTTGTATATTCGATAACTTTAAATCTGTGATCCATTTTGGTTAATTTTCGTGTGTGATATGTGGTTCGTTTTCTTCCACGAGGGTATACAGCACCTTCACTCAAATGGCTTTTTGTCAGATGGACCATTTACGCGTGGGTCTCTTCCACGTCTGTCCATCCACGTACGTCAGCAC